AGGGGCAGGGGCGGGGCTAGGGCGGGGCTCCTCCCGTCCTCTTTTTTGCTTGTTGAAATATGGTAACCCTAGCCTTTCTACCTGAATCTCTGAAATAAAATGGAACCTCTGTTTTGTTTTGTTTTTTTTTTAATGGAGATATCCCATCTCCTAGAACTGGAAGGGACCTTGAAAGGTCATCGAGTCCAGCCCCCTGCCTTCACTAGCAGGACCAAGTACTGATTTTTGCCCCCGATCCCTAAGTGGCCCCCTCAAGGATTGAACTCACAACCCTGGGTTTAGCAGGCCAATGCTCAAACCACTGAGCTATCCCTCCCCCTAAATGTTGAGCAGTGACCCGGCCTTCTGTCAAACGAAGATCTTACTGAAATACACAAGGCCTAATTCTGCTTTCGTTTACACTGGTACAAATCCAGCGTAACTCCCGTGAGGTCAGTGGAGTTACTCCAGTTTTACACTAGTGTGAATGACAGTAGAATCTGGCCTGTTTTGCCTCATGTGGTTCTTTCACTCGATTCAGGTTATCCTCTTGGGAACAGTTGCTTTTCACGGAGTTCTGTTTTTGAATGGCTTTACGGGAGCTATTTCTGCTGTTGGGATGCAAGACATTTCTTAGTAGTAGTAAAAATCTCGTCTGTATATGATTTCACCCGGGAACTTTAGGAAATGAGGTGTTTGGAGGAAGTGAGATGGCTGTCAATGTGGAGGAAGCGGATGTGGATTCAGGGTGGAGAGAGAAAGAGATGGAGTAATTGGAGGTGAGTGTGGAGTAAGCCCCTTCTTCAATAAGCATGGTGAGGTCATGGTCACATGAGTACGGGGTGGAATAAATCAGTAAATGGAGTGTCACTCTGGATTAAGAGTGGAGTCAAAGCAAGTGCATCTGAGTGTGTCAGTGAAGGGTGAGTATCAGATAAGTATGTGCTGGGAGTTGTTAGTGTGTGTTGCTCTGGGGAGCTGATGTAATTTTATCACTTTCAAAGCATTTTACAAGGGTGGGTATTATCACCCCCATTTTACGGATAGGGAAACCGAGGCAGAGAGCAGAGAAGTGACATGCCCAAGATGACAACAAGGAGTCCGGTGGCACCTTAAAGACTAACAGATTTATTTGGGTATAAGCTTTCGTGGGTAAAAACCCACTTCTTCAGAAGCATGGAGTGAAAATGACAGATGCAGACATTATATACTGACACATGGAGAGCAGGGAGTTACCTCACAAGTGGAGAACCAGTGTTGACAGGGCCAATTCGATCAGGGTGGATGTGATCCACTCCCAATAATAGATGAGGAGGTGTCAATTCCAGGAGAGGCAAAACTGCTTTTGTAATGAGCCAGCCACTCCCAGTCCCTAGTCAAGCCCAGATTAATGGTGTTAAATTTGAAAATGAATTTTAGTTCTGCAGTTTCTCTTTGAAGTCTGTTTCTGAAGTTTTTTTGTTGAAGGATGGCTACTTTTAAATCTGTGATAGAATGTCCAGGGAGATTGAAGTGTTCTACTGGCTTTTGTGTGTTACCATTCCTGATGTCCGATTTGTGTCCATTTATTCTTGACACCATGCCCAAGATGAACTGGTCAGAAATAGAGCCAAGGTTGCCTGCCTCCAGTATCCATCCCCCATCCCTGGACAACGCTCCCTCATCTCAGCTGCTCTGCTGTGTCTCTCCGGCCGGGGGTGCGCAGCGAGGGGCCGCAAGGGAGGGGTGAGGTGTGTCCCAGGCATTAAGGCACATGCAGGGCTGAGTGAATCCATGCAGCGTGTATATGTGCGTGCCTACACGTGCTGGCTCCGTGCCCAGAAACAACAGGCCACAGCTGATAGAAGTGGCAAGTGGAACAACAAGCCTCCTCCTCCAGGGCATTGAAACACACCGGCTCCGACCCAGCCGCAGGGCTCTGCAAAGAGCAGTCAGGGCAAGGGGCCGGGGAAATACTCAGTTCAGCTCCTTGGGGCAGTGGCTGGGTCTCCACTGGGCAGGCTGGGTAACTCCCCTGCTCCCAGGGAGATTCCCCACACACCCACACACACACACCCCTGCTCCCAGGGAGATTCCCTACACACACACACTCACATTCACACCCCTGCTCCCAGGGAGATTCCCTACACACACACACACACACACACACACACACACCCTGCTCCCAGGGAGATTCCCTACACACACACACACACACACACACACCTGCTCCCAGGGAGATTCCCCACACACACACACCACCCTGCT